GCGATATGCAGATAATGTACATGTCCATAATGCTTTGCATACTCTTGTAAGGCCATATGTTGAGTTAGCCGCTTGCACGTTTGTCCTCTACTTATGGGAGAAACTTGACCGGAATCCACGATGATTTAAACTCCCCATGAACCCTTACATTCGAGGACGAATGTTCCTAAGGGGGGAAGGGTGTTACAACCCATATCCACACGCGTTAGTTCATACCATATATTAGTTAACATAAATTCAAGAAGGAATTACCTTTGAGATGATAAGAAGTTAATCCTATTGGTCTTAAGTGATACAAGGGTGTATAAGGGTGATTAACAAGTATTAGAAGTTAAACGAATCAAGGATGTTGTAACTCGTATTTTCATGTAAACCTAGAGGTTCTTAATACACTAAAGGTCATGTATTAAAGTGTTTGAATCATATAATATTCGTATCATAAGTCTTGAAGTCAAATGAGTTATGAAACAAAAGTCGACAAACGTTGTTGCAACTTAGGTTCATAATTTTACTTAAACATTAGGTTAAATGTTTCTAAGCTTTTCTCCTAATTACAAGGAACTACGGGGTGATCTACCCACCAAATTAAATATCTACGAGTATAGTTTCCAACGCATTAAACCATTTGTCAAGACGATCTCGGAGTATAGAGATATTCATATTTTTGCAAGCCTGCGCAGATTGGTAGATGACAAGTAGGTGCATCACCTACTTGCCAAAATGATAGGACAAAATTAAAAGACCTAAGTCGACCAAGAGAGGACTTTTAAGGGGTTATGAACTCAATTATTTTNTTCCATGAGTCGAGCATGCATTATATATATGTATCTATTTTACTCTACCGAGCCACGTTATAGTCGGTCGGGTACGACACATATTGTGCAACCACTGATCAGTTGGGTTTTACCGAGCTCCACATGGCCGGGTACGATTCTACCGAGCCTTATGATGGCCAGGTATGTTTTCACCAAGCCTATTATGGCTGGGTACGATATGATGATGATGATGCTCACAAAGGCGTATGTTTTAAAAGTTTATGTATACATACATATGTATCATGCATTTCATGTCAGTATCCTTCAGAGGTACTCAGATGTTCCAGGTTGTATATTCTCTATCCGTGTTTATATTACTATTCATATTTATGGTTCCCTGCCTTACATACTCAGTACTTTATTCGTACTGACGTCCTTTTGTTTGTGGACACTGCATGTCGTGCTGTAGGCCCTAATAGACAGGCAGGTGCAGCTCCCCCACCATAGTAGGTTGTCCAGTTCAGCAGTGATTGGCGAGATCCCTTCTCCGGACTTGCCGTGGTCTTGGTATGCATTTTTGTTATAGATATTATGGGTATGTCAGGGTCCTGTTCCGGCTATGTTGCAGCACTTATGTTCATTTAGAGGCTCATAGACATATGTCGACTCATGTATAGTTTGGTATACCTTATCGGCTGGTTTTTGTTGTATAGTCTTTCATGGTAGCGTGGTAGCTAGTACCTTATATGTAGTTTCTTGATTGTCTGGTCATCTCCTGTTATGTATGTTCATGTCATCATATTTTATTGCTGGTTGTCCATGATCTAGGTCTACCATTTATATTAATCTCGTCAACCCTAAAAGATAATAAAAAAAAGGTTAGATAAAATGTACGTTGGTGCTCGGCAAGTATGGTCGGGTGCTAGTCATGGCCCTCCAGTTTGGGTCGTGACAAAGGAGAAGAGTACGGTCGGGTGCTAGTCATGGCCCTCCAGTTTGGGTCGTGACAAAGGAGAAGAGAACAAAGCTGGATGATAAATCTATTCCTTGCATATTCATCGGATATGGAGATGAAGAGTTCAGGGTACAGATTGTGGGATCCTATAAAGATGAAGGTCATCAGAAGCAGAGATGTATTCTTCTAAGAAAGTGAAGTTGGAACTGCAGATGACCAGTCAGAGAAGGCAAAGAATGGTATAATCCCTAACCTTGTTACCATTCCTTCTACTTCTAACTATCCCACAAGTGAAGAAAGTACGACCGACGAGGTTGTCGAGCAGGGGGAGCAACCTGGTGAGGTTATTAAGAAGGGGGAGCAACTTGATAATGATGTCGAGCAAGTGGAGTACCCCGCTCAAGAAGAAGAACAACCTCAACCTCTGAGGAGATCAGAGAGGCCAAAGGTAGAGTCATGCAGGCACCCTTACATAGAATATGTCCTCATCAGTGTTGAGGGGGAGCCAGAAAGTCTTAAGGAGGTGTTGTCCCATCCCGAAAAGAACCAGTAGATGAAAGTCATGCAAGAAGAGATGGAATCTCTATAGAAAAATGGCACGTACAAGCTGGTTGAACTTCCAAAGGGTAAAAGACCACTCAAATGCAAATGGGTCTTTAAACTCAAGAAAGATAGAAATGGCAAGTTGGTTAGATACAAAACTCGATTGGTGGTAAAAGGCTTCAAACAGAAGAAAGGTATTGATTTTGACGAAATTTTCTCACATGTTATCAAAGTGACTTCTATTCGAACAATTTTGAGCTTAACAGCTAGCCTAGATCTTTAAGTGGAGCGGTTGGATGTGAAAACTGCATTTCTTCATGGAGATTTGGAAGAGGAGGTTTATATGGAGCATCCAGAAGGATATGAAGCAGCTGGAAAGAAACACATGGTGTGCAAATTGAAAAAGGAATCTTTATGGGTTGAAGCAAGCACCAAAGTAGTGGTACAAAAAGTTTGACTCATTCATGAAAAGTCAAACTTATATGAAGACCTATTCTAATCCATGTGTATACTTCAAAAAAAAATCTGACAACAACTATATTATTTTGTTGTTGTATGTGGATGACATGTTAATTGTAGGAAAAGACAAGGAGCTGATAGCAAAGTTGAAGGGAGATTTATCCAAGTCATTTGATATGAAGGACTTGGGCCCATTACAACAAATTCTAGGAGTGAAGATTGTTCGAGAGCGAACAAGTAGAAAGTTGTGGCTGTCTCAGGAGAACTACATTGAACGTGTACTGGAATGCTTAACCTGAAGAATGCTAAGCCAATCAACACACCTCTTGCTAGTCATCTGAAGTTGAGCAAGATGATGCGTCCTACAACAATGGAGGAAAAGGACAGCATTACCAAAGTTCCTTATTCCTCTGTCATCGGAAGTTTGATGTATGCAATGGTATGCACTAGACTTGATATTGCTCACGCAGTTGGTTTTGTCAGCATGGTTCTTAAAAGTCCTGGAAAAGAACATTGGAAAGCAGTCAAGTGGATACTCAGGTACTTGAGAGGTACCGCAGGAGATTGTTTATGTTTTGGAGGATTTGATCTAGTCTTGAAGGGCTATATAGATGCGGATATGGCAGGTGACATTGATAACAGAAAATTCACTACTGGATATTTGTTTATATTTTTAGGGGGGCTATATCATGACAGTCGAGGTTGTAGAAGTGTGTCGCACTCTCTACAACTAAAGCAGAGTACACTGCCGCTACTGAAGCTGGTAAGGAGATGATATGACTGAAATGGTTCCTTCAAGAGCTTGGCTTGCAGCAGAAGGAGTATGGTGTCTATTGTGACAACCAAACTGCAATAGACTTGAACAAGAACTTCATGTACCATGAAAGGATCACACATATCGATATAAGATATCACTAGATCCGAGAAAAGGTAGAAAGTGAATCTCTACAAGTCCAGAAGATTTCCACAAGTGAGAATCCTGCAGATCTGCTGACCAAGGTAGTACCAAGGGACAAGTTCAAGTTGTGCAAAGAACTTGTCGGCATGCATTCAAGTTAGAAGTCCGATGTGACCTCCTTCAAGAGAATGGGTCTGGAGAGGGAGACTGTGGGGTCCATCCCCATAATGAAAAAGGAAAAAAAAGGATAAGGGAAGTCTAATTCTATGGCCAAAGTTGGTTTTGGTAACAATTTGCATTCTTGCAAATTGACAAGTTGCAGCAGCAATTTGCAACGTAACAAGCCTTCTGATTGGCTGAATTGGGTGGCCATTCTTTCCATAAGTAGAAGCCTTCAGCTTCTAGAGAGTAGTGTGAGGTATTCATAGGAGGTGTAGTCTGTAAGGAAAAATAAAGAGTGTGAGCGATATTGTAGTGAGGTGGGAATCTTAAAGACGGTTATTTCTTTTGAGTGTATAGTGGTCCCTAGAATCTTTCACTCGGGACTACTGGGCGTAAAATTTCTCATTATAGTGGATTACTTTGCTCCTCTCAGGCTCGTAGTTTTTTCCATTATTCAGAAGGGTTTTCCACGTTAAAAATCTTTGTGTCCTTGTTGTTCTTTTTTATTCTTATTGATTACCGTATCTCGGTATTACATTATTGTTCCGCTATTATTGCCGTGAATATTGTTTCTGTGAGGGGTTTATTCCCACCAGAAAGAAAGATTATTTCTTCTTGCCATGCTCCTCAATATTCATACATTTATAGTCAATATTTTTGAAAGTTCGCGCTCCAATTTTGGGGAGAAGATGTGTACGGATACAATCAATCATCACCAGACAGATCTCCCCAACGAACGTTGTGCTTTGCAGCTAGATAATGTGCTCCTACTGGACCCCTACTGCCATACGGATAAAGCTCTGGCGCGATCTTCTTCTCTTCTAGCTCCTTCAGCAATGGTGTAAATAGAGCCCATGCAGCATCCAGCTCATCACTTCTAATGAACAATCTTCGCTCTCCTTCTATTGCATCTAACAGAAGCCGCTCATATGCATCTGGTATTTCACCTCGATACCTTCACAAACGACCCAAAATATGGAGTAAGATAATTTTGAAGTCAATTGAAACGTCTGCCTCATGTAATCTCAAAATAATCAGCATTGTAAGTTATTCATCAGAAATAAAGAACATTGAGAAATCTGTTGCATATTATAATCCTGGCTCTATATTAAATAATCTGCTGCAAAGTATATTCCTGGTTCTATATCAGATGTATTTCATCTATACCTGAAAGCATTATAGCATATATTCACAGAACAAACAGGAAATGGTGAAGTGCAAGAAAATTTAAGTAGTCATAACATTTAATAACTTATAGTCGAACAGTATTCTCTTACTTTGCTTTGTAAAGAAGATTAAGGTCACTCCGGTCAAGTCTCATTCCAAGACCAGGAACCTTGTTGTTGATCTTCAAATATATGGCTTCATCAGGTTGTAAGCGCAGAACTAGCTCATTTGTGGCCTTATCTAGATCAGTTCCAAAGTTCTTTTTGTACAAATTTCCAGGAACATGTCTGAACTGTACCCTGATCTCCGCCCTGCATTTTCAATGTTACAAGATTTTGGATCATTTTGTATATATAGCTGAAAATATCATTATGGAGAAAAGGAAAATCCACCAACCTCCTAGTATGGAGAGCTTTTCCAGCTTTCATGAGGAAAGGAACCCCGTCCCAGCGTGCATTATTAATAAAGAGTGCAGCAGCAGAAAACGTTGGAGTGACACTACCGTTTGGCACAGTTGGATCGTCTGTATAAGCTGGATATAATTTACCACCCTTGCTATGACCTTTATACTGGCCAAGTACCACATCTTCAAGCTGCAATGGCCTCATTGACCTTAAAACTTTAACCTGAACCACCAAAACAGTCAGATCTAATTTGGACCATGTTTATTATATGAACCTGAAAATTGTACTCTCTCTATTTATAGTCATTTGGAGGATCTCCGTTTTGTGTAATGCAGGATTATGAGAATGGTTTGTGGCAAACATCTGGATACCTTTTCATTTCTGATGTCCTCGGCATCCATGCTGACAGGTGTTTCCATAGCAAACAATGCTAATATTTGAAGGAGATGATTTTGCATTATATCTCGGATGATCCCGTAATTGTCAAAGTACCTGGGCCAAAAGAGCAATAAGTTAGAGATCCAACTAAAACAGAATACAGTTCTTTTTAAGTAGCTGTAGCAGAGTAATGAACCTCACCCTCCTCGTCCCTCGGTACCAAAATCCTCGGAAAATATGAATTGGACATTGCGTATGTAGTTTCTGGACCAGAGAGGCTCAAAGACAAGATTCGAGAAACGAAGAACTGAGAGATTCTCAACAAGTTCCTTTCCCAAGTAATGGTCAATTCTGAAAGAAACCCAACATAATCAAACTTCAAACCACGTTATATCAAAGAAAATGCAGTTAATCTTACCGGAATATTTGCTCCTCAGTTAGATACTTCTTTAGGCATCTGGTCAGCTCACTAGATGATTCTAAGTCACGACCAAACGGTTTCTCAACAATGACTCTTGTCCACCCACTTGTTGAAGAAGCTTTAAGACTTGCACATCTCACCACATCCACGAATATATTTGGAGGTATTGATAAGTAAAACAACCTATTAGAAACCCTAGAACCCTAAAATGTGGTCACATGATCAGCACTCACAATCAGCTTTGTATCATTCATCAGTAACATAGTTCATGATTCTGAAGTAAAGAACACTAAAATGTGGTAACACTGCATCAAGTGAAGACTAATTTTTGCAATTCGAACCCCAGGATAGAATAAGGATAACGTGTATACTCCGGGTTTTTTTTTTTGGCCTCTCATTTCATCTGGGTAACTGAGCAACAACAACATACCCGGTGTAATCCCACAAGTGGGGTCTGGGGAGGGTAGTGTGTACGCATACCTTACCCCAACCTTGGGAAGGTAGAGAGGTTGTTTACGATAGACCCTTGACTCAACAGACACTTGGCTCAAAGAAATCATAATCACAGCAGTTATGAAAATGTAACTGAGCATAAGATTATAACTAGACAAAAACATTAATCCTGCCAAATTTTGAGGATTTGCAGTCCTGAATAAAGTATAAAGTCTAACACAGAACCAGCTCTTTCACTTTCCAGTATATGCTTCAACATAAGTGCACATGTAATGTGCAAAAGCTGTGAGCAAAGAATTCTAAGTACATCATCACGGCAGTAAATAAAATGAGAAGACTCTTATTATCTCACGTCAAAGGGAAATAAAATGAGTAAGCAGTACATAAAAGTAAGTCCACTATCTCTCATCCATGGAGTAAACTCTTGAAGGAAATGCGTTATTCATTTTCCGTAATCTGGACAAAGCATCATGATTATATAAAGCATTTATGTCAACGTGCACGTGCAGAGACAACTTTGCAAATGAAATCTGTGAACTTTTCACTAATATTGATTAGCATGTTGAACTAACAGAAATTGTGGAAGTTCCCCTTTAACTCTCTTGTCACTGCTTAGATGGAAATAATAATAGTGGTCTCGTTTTAGGTGATTCTTTGATTCTTCGACTTAAATGTATTGTAGGGGTTGATCAAATTAGAATCAGTCAACCAAGGAAACTAAGGTTTTAGTTTTTTATTTCGTACATATGTACATATACACATCTTTCCTGGAGCCGGACCTTTTACAGATTTCCCCATAGTTCAGAGTTCAGACTTCTCCAAAGTTGAAAAAAAAGATCAGGGAGGAAATTCCCAAAACAACATCGAGAGCACCCTTCTTATGTGATATATAACTGTATTGTCAATCTCTTTCCCGCTATACCCAGCCAATTCTCTACTTTTACCTGAAGGACTTCTTACCTCAAACTTCAAGGCACCGAGAAAATCATTCCGAATATCTTGCCAAAAATATTTCAAACACCAAATAAACCACTAATTTCATATCTTGACTATATTATGTTCCTTTTCCTATCCGGAAAGTCTGTACCTTACTCCTTGCAGCAAAAGGATGTTGCCTTCAAGGGTCATAGTTGGTGATATTCAGTGGCCACACAAATGAATGGACAATGTATCTTACATAAAGAATACTTTAAAGATGTAGAGACTTGTCAAGAATTAAAATCTTAGTATTAGAAAAATATTAAAGTGATTAAGATGATTGATTACTTAAACAGATAAGATGTCAAGATGACATTCAGTTTACTGTTATAGTTTCTTTCTAGACGTGCAAAAACAGACTGCAGACACCGATAAGTACAACCACATGAATTACCTCCTTTGCCTTTAATTTGTAATCCAGTTCTGCAAAATCATCCTCAGAATTGTACTGACCGGAGTGGTAAAAGCATCTTTCCAGAAAGTGGTCCATTTTAGCCTCGCAATTCTCTCTGCAAACCCTCAACAATATGGATTCCGCCAGCTCCAAAACCATAAACACCATAAATATTCACATGTTAAAGTTACTTGATATAATGACATACCTCTGATCAATTCTACAAGTTAAGGTCTTGCTGATCATGTTTCTCAGCTCTTCATCACTCATTTTTGTTCGTGAATAACCAAAAACTATAAAATTCTGAAACATACAAGCAAAGACACATCATGAGCTACTTAAGATGGCTCTGCTAATTAATCTAAGCTCCATTTTGTTTTTGTGTGTGATTAGTAGATAACAATATAGTTGGAGATACGAAATTTAACCTCAGGCAAACAATCTTCATAGAAAAGAGCAAATAAAGCTGGAAAAATCTTCTTCTTGGCTAGGTCACCTGAAGCTCCAATAACAGTTATGCTGACAGTTGTCTCTGCATTTTCTAACTCTGTCAAAGGCACTTGTTCTGGCATAGATTTTGACGCCGAACCTATATACATACACGTCAGAGATTTGGTATTTAAATTAACCAAAGGAGATACAAAGCAGAAAATGATGTAAAGAACAAACCGCAGTTCGTGGATGGAGGTGAGCTATCATCAAGAACTATAATTTCAAGATCATCCATTTTATTCTACAATCGAAAAGCAAAAAAAGAATGCCTACAAGAGGTTTTGTAAACCTTAAACAAGATATTTTACTTTTACTACAAGTCCATCTATGGTTTGTCAATGCAAAGAGCAGAAACTACCGAGCGAAAAGAAAGGAAATTTTCTAAAGTTCTACAACACCATATCTCTAATAGGATAAATGGCTGGTTTTTGTTCTCTCTTTAATCTTTGGGGTCCAATTCAATTGTTGAGGAAGTCAAGATTTTGGAATACATTAGTACAGTACATAATTTTGTTTGAATACATTCATTATTTTGGATTAAATAGGGATTGTCTTCTATTCCAAGACTAACTGCACTTTCTAACTTGAGCTTAGCAAAGATAAAGAAAATCCTTTACCAGCATATCAAGAAAAGAATTTCAGCTATGGGTACAGGCAAGGTAGGTACTAAAAGTAATTAAAACTACAAAGTCAGAGTTAACCAAATTACACGACTAAATATATGATAAGCAAAACATCAAACACTTGGAAGAAGATTAACTGAGCTAATAAAGAAATATTAATAAATGTTAAAGACTGTATTTTTAAATGAAGATCAAACTCACCATCCAGCAAAGACACAGCATTCAGATGAAAACCATTTGATGACATGATCTCAAAATGCTTTCTTGGCTGGATTCTTGAATAAATTCCATTATGGAAAGTACTAGCAACTGAAGATTCAAGGGAATGGGCTTTAAATGGTAAAATATTAAAATTTCTGCAAAACTTATGTGCCCCATTATGGAAAGTAGTAGCAACTGAAGATGAAGAACAAGGATTCAATTGCAACTGCCCACCCATGCAGTTTTTTGTGTAAAGACTACTCGCAGAAAGTCGCAGATTTATTGGCTTCTTTAATGTGAAATAATAAAAAGAAAATAAGTTTATCCAGTTGCAAAGTAGTTATTGGATACTGACAGATTCTTTGTCAATTGAAATATTTGATGAATTTAGCAGGAAATATCTGAAGGTTGGCCCTTTAGTTCCGTGAAAGGCATTAGTACAGTGAAGTCCACACCTTTCAAATGCTCATCCTTTATATGAGGTCCATATTTTTTCCCCACAAAGTTTATTATTTTTTTCTTTACAATATACTTAAAATATTCTTAAAAAATTTTGCCCGTTTGGACATAAGAAAATTTTCTCTTTTTTTCCAAATTTTTTTTCCTTTTTTCCGAAATCAAATTTTCAATTTTCATTTGAAAATACATTTTGAAAGCTCCAAAAAATTATTTTTCAAAATTTTTACTCACAAAACTTCAAAAACAACCCAAAATCATAATCATGTCCAAACATAACTTTAAATTTCAAATACCATTTTCACTTGAAAAACCTTTTCACCTTTTTTTAGAATTTTACAATTCTTATGTCCAAACGCCCACTTAAATAAACTAGTCTCTATTTCATGTGCCACGCATATGTATCACAGCTACTATTATTAATTTTATATGTAAAGATAATAAATTTTTTATACAATATATAATTTAAACTATTATTATTTCATGTGATGTAAACTTTCATGAATAAAATTTTTGCCTTTACAACATCAATTTTTTTTACCCTTTTAAAAAGATTTTATGTTGGATAAAATTATCATATAATTACTTTTCTAATATTTTTTTTTTTTGTAACAATGTGAAATTACCATTAACATCAACAACAATTACACTTATAGAGCACCTAATTTCCTGAACTCAGAAATTAGGCCTCCTACAAACAGAAAAATCTAATTACAAGTAATCTGTCTAATAAAATTCCTACATTTCTGTGCTTTCTTTGACTGTTGAAGTAAATCTATCATTTCTATCACTTCTCTCGTGATTTGTATAACTACCTCTTCAATATTTACATTCCTTCCTTGAATTTTTTTTGTGCTTCTTGCTCTCCATGTATAGTATACCATCGCTAAGTACAGTGCAGCAATCACTTCTTTTTTGAACTGTTTCCGGTGCTTCCTTTTGATCTGCTCCAACATTTGCTTCACTCCTGTATATTGTACATCATGCCCTGCCCATATGTTCAACTCTTGCCTTACTGTTGTTATCCATCCACATTTAGCAAACAAATGATCCTGAGATTCCAATGCATCCTCATTACACAAAATACAATGAACATTTTCAACTTGTATTTGCATCCCAATCATCCTATCCTTTGTCAGCAATTTCCCTAGTGTTTCTAGCCAACCTATGAATCTATGTTTAGGTTGAGCTATTGTTGTCCATACTAAATCTGCAACTTCCAGCTTCTGTTGTCTACCAATTATTGCAAGATAGCTGTGATTAATAGAGTACTCCCCTATAGGATTTAGAATGTATTTGCCCTGTGAGTACCACTCCCACATCCCTTCTTTTACTGAGTTTAGCTTTCTCTAGTACTAGTTGCTATCTAAAGGTGGTGAATATGTCCATATATCTTGATTTGACTTCATATAAACCTCATGAACCCACCTTACCCAAAGAGACTCCTTGTTCAATATTAACTTTCATACCAGTTTCTCAACTGAAGCTATATCTCATTCCTTACATCCCTTGATGTTTAGACCTCCCATGCTTTTAGGACAATAGACTTTATCACATGCATGTGATGATCCGGCCAATTGTCTCATGAGTTACCGCTCCGTTTACCCTATTTCTACTTCTAATTGCTTTGTATTATGGTTCTATATGTGGTCGGGTTGATTGGTTAGGGTCCGGAAAGGATTTGGTAAGAATTGAGGCAAAGAGTTTAAGTTGAAAAAGTCAACCGGATGTTGACTTGTGTGTTAGAGGGCTCGGATGTGAGTTCCGATGGTTTGGAAAGCTTCGTTAGGTAATTTGGAACTTAGGAGCGTGATCGGAATGAGTTTTGGAGGTTCGGAGTAGATTTAGGCTTAGAGTTGGCGAAATCGGATTTTTGGCGATTTTCGGTTGATAGGTGAGATTTTGATATAGGGGTTGGAATGGAATTCCGAGAGTGGAAGTAGCTTCACTGCATCATTTGGGATGTGTGTGCAAAATTTTAGGTCATTCGGACGTGGTTTGGTTGGTTTTTGATCAAAAGCAGAATTTGGAAGATTGTAGAAGCTTAGGCTTGAATCCGAGGTGTTTTGGGTGATTTGATGTTATTTGAGGTGTTTTGATTATTGAAACAAGTTTGAATGAGGTTTTAGGAAATGTTGGTGCCTTTAGTTGAGGTCCCAGGGGCCTCGGGTGAGTTTCGGAGGGTTGAGCGGATCATTTTGAGTTAAGAGAAATTGCAGAAAAATGGTTTCAGCTGTTGCAGGTGATTTGGTCTTTGCGTTCGCGAAGGGCCAGGAAGGGAGGCGTCATGTTTGGCCTTCGTGTTCGCGAAGGGTAGTCCCACGTTCCAGAAGGTATGGACTTGGTAAGCATCGCGTTCGAGTGAGTCTGGGTCGCGCTCGCGTAGGTTGGCGAAGCTGAGGCATCGCGTTCGCGATGGGGGATCGCGTTCGCGAAGAAGAATTTTGGTCAACAGAATTTTTGTGCTTCGCGACCGCGTTCGCAAAGAAGGATTTTCAGGCCTAGGCAGAATGTTTAAAAGGTCGCCTTGTCCGCGAATGTGGGTCTATGTTCCTCCATAGTTGCTCGTTTTTGGAAATATTTGAAGGAGAATGAAGGGGGATTCAAGGGGAAACGTTCGGAGGTAAGATTCTTGGTCTAAAAACTTGATTATTATGTGAATTTCACCTAGAAAATCATGAAATCTAAGCCTAAAATTGAAGAACTAGGGCTTGAAATTGGAGATCAAACATTTGGTATTTGAAGGGTCATTTGTGGATGAATTTTGATGTTCTTGGTATGTATGAACTTGTGGGGAGATAAGGAATCCGTTGATGTAAAAAATTTCGAATTCCTAGATGTGGGCCCGGGGGTCGGGTTTGGCCAATTTCGGGATTTTTGGTATTTTTCGATTGTTTTCGCTTGGGCGTCGTTCCCTTAGCATATTTTGACGCCGTGATTCTGATTGTGAATAGATTCGACGCGAGTGGAGGCCGATTCGAGGGGCAAAGGCGTCGTAGAGTAGTATTTTCACCGGTTTGAGGTAAGTAACCATTGTAAATCTAGAACTGAGGGTACAAAACCCCGGTATTGGACTTGTTTTTGATAAATGCGGTGGCGCACATGCTAGGTGACGAACGTGTGGGTGTGCACCTTGGTCCGTCCCGTAGCGACTATTAAGTCGCGTATTTGATTTGAAAATATTATGTTATCCCGTATTTTGGATATTTATATTGTATTATGGGTTGTATGCTATGTTTGGGGCCTTGTGCCGACCTGTAGCAACCCTTAGGGGCATTTTGACTATTTTCTCCACTTTACTTGCTAGAAGTATATCCTCAGTCTTGTTTTACCCATTTAAATGATTAAAACCGATTTTATCACTCTACTCCTAATTGTGAGGACTGTTTGGGTTGAGTTCCCTAATCTCTATTGATAAGCTCGAGAGGGTGTGAGGTTAGTGATTGAGAGAGGTTGAGAACTTAATTGTGAGGATATTTGTATTTATGTGAGTTATGGATCGGGCTGCACGCCGCAATAATACTTATATGGATCGGGTTGCATGTCGCAGCGATATACATATGGGATGGGGCTGCACGCCGCAGCGATATGACGTTTGGGCTGTAGGAGCCCCTCCGGAGTCTGCACACCCCCAGTGAGCGTAGTCGACTATAAATATATGGATCGGGCTACACGCTGCAGCGGTTACTATAATTTCTATTATTATTATGAGATATAGTGAGCTGAGTGACTGAGAGGCTGCCCGATGGGCCATAGTCTGAGTGATTCCTTGCCCGCGGGGCCCTGTTATGATGTTTTTACTCTTCTTTTAAATAAGCCTCTATTGGATATATTGCTAAGTAATTGATTTCAATGTTTAAACTAGAAATGATGATTTTTATGACGGAACTAATTTTTAAGCTATATGTTTTGAATTGCTCGTCACTACTTTCAGTCCTTATTTACTTTAATTACTTACTGAGTTGATGTACTCACGTTACTCCTTACACCTTGTGTACAGATCCAGTGCCCGAGCAGCCGAGTGAGGGCTTTCAGCTGTTTCAGCATTTGACGGAGACTTCGAGGTAGCTGCATGGCATTCACAGCTCTGTTATCTCCCTCCTATATTATTATTTTCCGCATTTTCTTGATTGTTGATGTATTAGGTAATCAGACTTGTATTAGAGGCTCTAGACTCGTGACACCAAATTGTTGGGGCTGTGTAGTTTCCCTATTATCTTGACTTCTGCATATTTCTGTTGCTTAAACGCTTATAATGAATTTGGTATTTAAAAATTGCGTTAGAAAATGGCTTAAATGTTAAAGGAAAACGGGTTATGGTAAATTGATTAGTTGGCTTGCCTAGTAATGTGATAGGCGCCGTCACGACCGGTATTTGGGGTCGTGACAATGCAACCAAGGCAACCTTCCTCATCTCCTCCTTTTTGCCCCACAAGTACTCTGTACATAACCTGTCTACTCCCTTCACCACACTTTGAGGAAGGATAAAAATATTCCCCCAGAAGCTATGGATAGAGAATAGGACAGAATTTACTACTTGAAGCCTTCCTGCATATGACAACTGTTTAGAATATGTGACACTAATTCTATGTATGATCTTTCCAATCAGCATCTGGCAGTCCATCTTGTTCCATCTCTTAGGTGATAGAGGCAGTCCCAAATATTTGATAGGAAACATTTCAGTGAATTTTGTTCTACTCAGCAACTGTGCTTTAATTTCATCTTTAATCTCAGCTACAAAGATATTTGACTTCTCCATGTTGGCAATCAATCCTGAAGCTTTACTGAAGTGATCTAGGGCTTCCATCACTCTATTCACAGAACTAGTATCGCCTTTGCAAAATATCATCAGATCATTAGCAAAAATAAGATGAGTCAGCTTGATCTATTTGCACATAGGATGAAATCTAAAATC